CGCATCTCCCGCAGCCGCACCAGCAGGCGGCACTCGTGCTGTTCGTGCTGGGGCGCGTGGGTGGCTGCACACGCCGCCGAGCAGTAACGCACGAGGCGGCAACGGCTGCACGCCTGTTGCGACGTCGACGTGCCGCTGCCGCCATCGTCAGCACACTCCTCCACGACCACACCGCAGTTGGCGCACACACCGCAGCCGCTGCTGGTGCTCTCCTCCTCCACCTCTTCATACGCGCAGACAGAGAAAGGGTGGAGGGTGGAGCTGACCGCCAGCATAGGCGGCACGGGTGTAGCCGCCACAACACAGTTTCCGCAGTCACCCTGCCGCACCTCAATGCAGGGTTCCTCACTGTGCTGCCCACACTGCTCATGCTGTTGCTGCTGCAGCAGCAATTCGAGTGCGTCACGGATGGACGGTAGCGTGGCGTCGCCTATCGACGGCAGTAGGTAGACAGCACGGCACAAATACTGCAGTGCGCCCGCGTGACGCGGCAGTGTGATGGATGGCTGCAGCAGAGCACAGCGCCCAATGAAGGCGTACGCCTTGGCAATCAACGGGTTCACCGCCAGCACTGTGTGGGCGAGCGCCGCACATGCCTCGTACTCCTGCAGCTTAAAGAGACACGTCAGCGCATTGCCGGCGCACTTGGTGTACTCGTCAAGCATCGCCGCCTTGTCGTCAAGGGTTCCATAGAGGTTGATGGCCTCCTGGTAGAGTGCCGCTGCTGCACGAGGGTCGCTGGTAAAGAGGGCGTTGCCCCGCACGCGTAACTCCTCCATTCGAAGCACAACTGTTCGGCGGCACATGCATGTATGCAGAGAGAGAAAGAGAGAGGCAGCGGGTGTGGGGCAAGTGATGGAAACAGCAACGGAAGTGAAGCACCACAGTGGCAGAGCACTCAGAAAAACACCGATTTATGGTATCTAACAGGGAGCCGCCTCACCCTTCCTCCTCGTCATTGTCGACGTCCTCCTCGTCATCATCATCATCATCGTCATCCTCTTCCTCATCATCTTCTGCCTCCGCTTGTTGCGTTGGGTGCTG